AACTGCGCAGCACTATATGGTCAAGAATGGTAAGGAAGAAAAAGGTCATGCTTTATCTATTGGAAGCACAAATGATGATGGAATAGCGATGATAACTTTATCAGGTGATGCATGTTTGGTCCAAGCGTTCGTATGGAACTAATTATAGTGCCTATTCTGGAGTTGGTGCAATTGCGGGAATGCACTCAAAGAAAGTTCTATATTACGGAGTGAAAAGTAAGATTTGTAATATCTATTTACGAGCACAAACAAAAGGAGCACACCCACCGAAACATACTTGTTTAAAAAAAATCAAAGTCCTTCTACAGCAATGGAAGCAGTTATAATAGCGGAGGGCTTTAAAAAATCAGTGGAAATGCATGGACTTATTTACAACCATTACGTCGCAGATGGTGACTCAAGAACATATGCTAGTATACGAAATGCAAGGCCATAACGTAACAGTTGGTAAAATTGAATGCAAAAACGATCAATTACGAAATTACGCAAGGGACTTTTTTTCTTTTCTAAATTTTCTCAAAATACTTTCAATTTCTAAAAATACTACATACCACATAAGGGGCAGAAAAATCCTAAAAGAAAATTATTTACGGATACGCTGGGGCATTGAGAGCAGTTAAATATTGGACCAGTAAGGACGGTACTTTCGAAGAAAATGTAAGACAGATTCAAAATGACATAATGAATGGTCCCTACTATATATATGGTGATCACTCCAAATTTGCATCAAATTTTTGTACCGATGACATTAAAAAACGCGATGTGAATATGGTACCAGAACTTACAGCATACGGCATATTTCAAAAAGTTGAAGACTTAGCCCAACGTCTTTCATTGCATGCTTCCAGTTTTGTATACAATGAAACGAACAATGCGGTGGAAAGTTTTAATGCACGAGTTTTTCGAGAAACGTTTAACAGTGGTAGAGCCACGCGGCAGCTTTTGCTGTCGCACGGATGGGCCGGCTCGAACCGGGGTGGTACCACGGCCTCACAGAATACCAGCGTGAAGTAGAGGTTTACCTCTGCGTTTCGCTTGGTGAGTGCAGGTGGCCGGAGGCCTTTTTTACTGGAAATGAGGCATTCCATCTTAGTCCTCACGGGTGGCAACGCAACTACGTTTTGATTGGTAATAGAGGATAGATGTAGATGTCTATGGGCCGCAGCAACCACTTACCATCAGGTGGACTGTGTGCTCGTTTGTCACCCTTATCCTATAAAAAAAATAGTTTACAGGAGGTAAAAGAGTTAACTTCACCCAGCGGGGGTCCTATCTGGCCTGTTACGCTGCAGCCGTCGTTTCCTATAATACAGGTGTCCTACAGTCGGCTGTACACAAATTTATTTTTAACACTGAAGCTAATCCTGAAATAGTGCACTTAGAAGAAATGCGGCAAAAACAAAATCGCCATCAAACTTAAAAAAGTAGAATTTTGATTGTATATAGCAAGTGACACATTCACGATAAATAAAAAACATAAATGGTATTACCAGGTTCAAGGGCAATTGCGCATTACTAGGCAAGATACTTGTGTATTACATTTTTTAATTAGATTTTACAAAAATTGTCTCCTCCTAGAATTGATTGACCCAAGACAGACTAGACTCTACTAGACTAGAAATTCTTCACATATTCAAACAAATATTTTAAAAATAAAAAATTTATGATGTTTAATTTGTTGTTTTAATAATCATCGAAATATACCTACAGGTCACCCCATCAAGTCCGAAGGTAAGGTCTCATCATACCGAACAAAATGAGCCCAAACTCGGCACACCTAGTTCTACTCGTCCAAGAGTTCCAGTAGTAGTTACCGAAGTACACCATCAAGTCTCTCCATCAAGCGGGTAGATTAGGTCTCATCATAACTAACAAAACGAGCCCAAACTCTGCACACCTAGTTCTATTCGTCCAGGAGTTCCAGTAGTACTCCCCGAAGTGCACCATCAAGCCGGGAGATTAGGTCTTATCATAACTAACAAAACCAGCCTAAAGTCCACAGCGAATATCTCACTGGTAGTAGAGGGCTTCTAGTGGCTAACAGTCTCTGGAGCAGCTATTCGTATTTCGTATCTAAGTATATTTTTGTGGGTATAAGAAATGAGAAAAAAAATCAATCTTTCAAATTATCAAAATGTTTTTACTTGATTACGATTCCCGCAGCTAACCGTGCGTACACTTGTTTGTGTGACCCGTGTCAATGTAGTAGTTCGATTCCATACCTATCAATTCTGCAAACGCGTCCTTAATCTCATGGCTACTAGACCGGAAATGGAGTCTTCAGCAGATTTGATAGCATACAATTGAACAGACCGATCTCCAAATGCAAGCGGCGGGACTTGCGCAACTTCCATCCATATAGCTCGTACTGAAGAAGCAATTGAGCCGAACCAGGGCTTCAAACTCTTTGCCAGAAAGAACCAATTGCCGACGCTGAAGACCGAATGTGGTAGCATCGTTCCCAGAACACCAGAGATTTTGAGTGAGATTGAGAGGTTCTATGGGCAGCTATACACATCAACCTTTTTGCAACACGCAAGTGTGAGTAATGATCCAAGAGCAAGTCTTATCCGACACTATTCCGATGATATTCTGAACGTCAGTCTGAGCGAGATCGGAATGGTTATCCAGCATCTTAAAAACTGCAAGTCCTTGGCCAGGATGGATTTACAGTGAAGCTTCTGAAAACGGGTGGCAAACCGTTACTTGAAGTCCTTCAGAAGCTCTTTAATTCCGTCCGTGCGTAGTGCCACTACTCCGGAAGCGTGGAGCAAAAGTGCGGTGATCTTGTTCTTCAAAAAATACGACAACGCTCTCTTGAAGAACTAATTACTCTTAACTACGAACTTATTACTAAGAACTAAGTACTAACAACTTATTAAATCGTATCTCTACTCATAAAAATGCTTATGGCGATTTGAAGCGCCCTCATTTCCCGTACCGGGAACTAAAATTGACACATACATAATATGCCAAAGTCTGTTGTATTATTTAAACTGTATCTCTGTATTTTTAACTTTTATACTAAAAAATGTTTTTAGTCAAACCGCTGGGGCTCGACCAGATCCACTTTTTGTGAGGTTGCTTCTGAAAGAAAGACTTCATCATAACCCTCTTTCTGCAAGAAATCGGCCAGCTGGCAAGCCCCTTGAGATACGTTTCCACAGTTTTGCGTTGAAGTCTCCCATTAACACCGTATAGTGGGTTTTGGAGAAATGCATGGCTCTAGAGATATCCTCATCGGGATCTGCCGAGGTTGGTGCGTAAGCCTGTATGACCTTCAGCCAATACCGTTCGGTGATACAGAGTGTACGTGGTACGCAACCCTCGTCGACACACCCAATCTTTACAACGTTGTTAACGAGAGACTTGTGGACGATATATCCGATACATTCTTAGGACAGATGGTCGCCCTCCAGGTGATAGAACAAGTTGCCGGATTTAAGAACTACCGTGTTCTCCCCCTCACATCGGACCTCGGATAATTCTATAATATACCAGCGCAACTTGTCTATCTCTTCTTCCTGTTCCAGGATATTCTCGCCAGTCCTCAGGGTGCGTGCGTTATATGTTGCCAGGTCGTGTCGTCTTAGGTGGCAACCGAACGTCCACCAGAGATTCTTAGCTTCTGCCTCGCCGTTACCATGGTCACAGAAATAGCGGGACCGCCAAGGACTTTCGGCCTTCTTTTTGTAACTCTCGCCATGGGAGGTATATTGCCATAGTTGCCACGCTTTTTTTGTGTGTGTTTTTTATTGTTATATTGCTGTTATCAGAAAGATGCTGCTGCCCATCTTCTGCCTCAGTTTTCCTCTATCGTCTATTACGACATCCAAGGGGATATTCTTTCACTACCACTACACGGGCAAAAGTACAACGGCACGAGTCCATTACCAAAAAAAAAAAAAAGAATACGGGTGTTTTATTTTATGTAATATACAGTCACCTTTAGATAGTTTATTAATTACAATTCCTTTTTCATTTCATTAAACACAACGTAACTAAAACAGAACAGCATCATAACAGTTGAACCAAGACAATGCTATACCAAAAAGTGATAGATATAATTATTTATATAATTAACATATAAAAATTATAGTATGATAATTATGGAAGTTTCTCACAGCATTTTTAATAGAAGCGAAGACAAAGTATACCACTACCACCGAAAGAATTGCATGTGTATTTCTGGCCTTTTCGAAAAGAGAACGCTTTATCTTTAAAGTGGAAATTCCACAATGTGGTCTTACGTGGCAGAAAACTGTGAAAAACTCAGGGGTTGTGTGTTCACTGTCAACCATCCAGGTGATGTGGATGATTTTTTTTATTCATACAATCGCTAACACACCACTTAATTATAACTGTAGCTGTAGCTTAAGTAAAACGATGGATAATAATAAATCTAACATAAATTTAATTTTTATTTCTATTCGAGTAAGCGTAACATTTCATATATAGAGAGGGTTTGTCTAATTTCAAATGTTGTTTATAAGTGAAATGTTGAAATAATACAAAAACGAAACCTTAAATGATAAAGGTAAAAGTAGATTTTTTAAACTTTGTCAGCATTTTTTTTTACATAAAAGTGTTTTGGGTTAATGTCACCCTATGTTTAGTGATGAAAAAGAAAAATAATAAAGAATACTAAGACTTTCTGGCCAACTTAATACCACAAAATCTATAGGAGAAATTAAAATATATGCTTAAACAGAAACTTTTACCTATCATTATTTAATATGAAGCCTCTTGAAATAATACATCGTATTTAAAAATCCTATTTTATGTATATATCACATTTAAACAGATGGATTAATTACCATCCTGATAATTGTACTAACTAAAAACAGTGATTTCAAGGACAACAACATAATCCTTTAGAATTTATTTTTACTTTGTGTTTAGAATAAAATGCCTAAAAGATCGCACGCATCAACCATTCCTAATGAATAACTCTGTTTTATCTTTTATTGCTTTTGGTTTTCAATATATTTTTTTAAATATTACTTAATATCAGACAGTTCCTTATTCCATTGTGGCAAATTACTTAATGCAAGAAATAGGGATTTCGGGAATTCGTTCACCGTTCTACCGATCACAACGAAGCGTGGCTGCAATCGTTCCTGGCTTAACGCTTCTGCAAGGAAATTCTTCGCTTCCAGAATTTGAGCCTGTTTCGGTGCCTCTTGAGTGAAGTTACCTGAAAATTATTTCATTTAGAAAAATGTTAATCTATACATATAATAAATCTGTAGAAAAGTCGTATCTGTAATTCTAATATATTCTTGAAAAAAAAAAACAAGTCCAAAGGACTAAATAATGGGTTCTGAATCCAAATCAGTGCTTTTTAGAATATTTGTCTGTCTGTCTGTGTATTCCGGATTCACGCAAAAACTAATTAACCGATTTACATGAAATTTTGTATATAGGTAGTAAGTAACCTGGGGCAACTTATAGGCTACTTTTATCCGATTACGGAACTTCAAAAAAGGAAGGTTACGTATTCTATTTCCTTTAGATGTTAATTTTCTATTATATCTTAGTTATAGGCGGGATGACGGGTGTTTTTCAAATAAAAATCATATTTGTAAATAAAGTTTAAAATATAGTTATAATCTTAGTAAAATAATTTAAAACTACACCGATTTGGTATTCAAAACAGCGCCATCTATCATCAAATCGAAAAAATAGTATGTTTTGCCATCAGTTACTAATAAATTAAATAATATAAATAACTTACATTTATATGATTAAATGATTAGATTTTTAAAATTATTAAAAAATTCTAACGTTTAGTTTTTTAGTATTTTCGTTATTTTATTTTAAAAGTGTAATAATTTAAATAGATAATTTATTTCAATTACTAATATATATGTAAAATGATTAAAACTGGTCTGTCTGCAATTGTTGCAAAATTTTCATTATCATTATAGTTTTATTAAAGAAATTTTTATGTATGTCGTGGCCAGATCGTAGAATTGATCATAATATATCATAAAGTAGTCTATCATTTCGTGAAATGGTGTGGTCATTTCATGATATTTAACACTATTTGTTGACCATGTCATGGTATAGCTTGACCAAATCAATGAATAGAAATCATTTGAAGATATTAATAACTAAACAGAACGTTGCTATTTCATAATAGGGTCATATGACGATATCATTAAATCGTTTTTCACCGCTAGCGGCGCTGATAGCGTATTTTTTAACAGAAAGAGAACATTTAAGAGAATTGACATCACTTTATTCCTTATCGATATAATAAATAAATGTTCGCTTCTATTGCTGATATTAATAGATGGTATATAGTTTTGGCTTTCATTATTTCATCTAAAATTAGCGCCACCTACTTACTTCTAAATAAACTAAAATGGCAAGTCACTGATAAAATGAAATAATACAATGCTACTGAATACACGATGTAAATAATTGAATCATTTACATTACATTCATCCCGCGTTGGAATCAGCGCAGCGAACACTTTTTTGCCCAAAAACTCTGCGGCCTGTGCCCAGTAGTAACATGTATGTTTTTTTTTTTTTTTTTTTAATTTATTTACCATATTACAAAGCATTACAAAAAACTATACTAAAAAGTCGCATACAGAAAACCACTAAGGTTTGTGATGACGCGACCAGAGTAGACGTTACATTAAGTATAATTAATATAGTTTGTAAAAAGGAAACATTACAGCCTAATTAGGACCTGAGCAAACGCATATACGCTGTTTCAAGTAGTAATTTTTTTTATAAATTACATAAAAAGTACATTTTAAGTTTTTTTTTAATGTTTTTGATATTTAAGTTATCGCGGAAATGTAATGTAAACTCCTACTTTTTTACTTTTCATGGAGAATATATGCAGTTTTAATTTATTCGTGTTTTCGGGTATGTTGCTTTTTGTTTTCACTCTGCCATAAATATTAAGGCTTGCAAAGATGAGTAGAACTCATTATCGTCAGCCTATCAAAAGTCCACTGAAATGAGCTTAGGCCTTCCCCATAAGTTGTCAAAAAGCTGGATATTTGCTTGGTAGGCGGGTTGGCAACCGCAGCTATTATTATTTTGATCTGATGTCAGGAAGATGATGCAGCCCATCCTATCTCCAGTTTGTTTTCCTATGTCGCCTCTTACGACGGGACGATATGAGGTGGTGGATTTTCTTTCACCGCCACAACAAGGCGAACATTTTTCTACTCCCGTTCATGAGTTTAGTGCTCCTCACGTTCACTGTGAATGATATTTATAAGGAATGAAACTAATTTTAAGGATTTTATCGCGTTTAATTTAAATTTTTCAAATTGCCGATGTTTTGGGCACTTTACAGCACCCATGGTTACGGGAGGGGCTGTAGAACTGGGGTGTTTGACGACCTGATGTCATCGTTAAAATAGAATGATTGATTGATGAAAATGCCGTAGTAGTTTGAATTTAATTTGATTAATTATGGGTTCCTCAGCAGAGGGTAGCACTCAGCCATCTTCCCTATTAAAATTAGGATTTTTTAATTTCAATAGACTCGCGAATCATCATTGGTAGGATTCGGTGTTCTATTGCAAGGATTTGTTGTCTATCAGATCTGATATAATGGTTGGGACGATACTAAACATGTTGACATACTTTAGACTTCCCGGAGCTTCGGTGCTTCACATCAACGATATGTTCTTTTACTCGGCACTTTCATCTAAGATGCGTAAAACACCCGTAACATTAGTTTTAATCCATGTGTAGTATGCATTATTATAGAACTGTATTTACGAAATTTTCAAGTCTACTGCAAGTAAAAAAATATCTGCATCTATTTTATGGTGCCAATCAATATTAAATAGGACCAATGATATGAATAGAATAGAATAGAATAATTTTTTATTCAATATTGATTATTACAGAATACTTATTGAGTAATTTTTTTATTTACCACTGGTTCAGAAAATACCTCAGACCTGGGAAGAACCAGCAAGAAACCCAGCGATACTTATTTTTTTAAACATAATTTCACTTAACAATAATTTTGTTTATACAATTTTTAAATGATTTTCCATAGAACCAGCATGGTGGCGATCACCCTATTCCCAGGGGTTGAAATATTTTCATTCATGTATTCCTTGATATTATAAGAACCCTTTTTGTACAGTTTTTCTTTAATAAAACTTTTAAACTTGTTTATTAACAAACTTTGAATATGTTCTGGGATTTTGTTGTAAAAGCGTATACATTGCCCCATAAATGAATTACTGATTCTGTGGAGTCTAGTAACTGGCATTACAAGCTTATGTTTGTTCCTAGTATTTAAAGTATGCACATCCTTATTCTTATTAAAGCTATTTATGTTTTTATGCACATACATTACATTCTCATAAATATATTGCGATGCCAAAGTTAATATGTTTATTTCTTTAAATTTTTCTCTGAGAGACTCTTTACAATTTAGGTTATAAATCGCCCGTACGGCGCTCTTTTGCAAAACAAATGTAGCTTCAATATCAGCCGCATTACCCCATAGCAAAATTCCATAAGACATTACGCTATGAAAGTAACTAAAATACTAATCTAGCTGTCTCATGAATAAAATGTATGAATAAAATGTCTCAAATAAACATTATATTACTTTGTTAAAACTAAATTAACTTTAACTATGAATAAATGTAAAGAGTAAAATGTAAATAATAATAATACATTTTGATTTCAAGACTATTTATCTTTCTTATGTATACATCGGAATTGGAAGACACGCTCGATATAAAAAAAATAGTAGGTGTTTCTAGACATATGTATATATTCACGTGTTTCTGTAGCATGTTACCAATCATCTACGTCTAATAGTATTTTAGAATGAAAAAAAAATATTTGACAGACATAGAGACACAGACACCGAGGTGACTAAAAGTGATCGAACTTTTCTAAATTTGACACGGAACAGCATTTAATGACGTTCCTAAATTCAAGCGCACGCGAGCGAAGCCGCGGGTAAAAGCTAGTCTTAAATAGATTTGTTTTACGCGTTAGCTTGAAATTGACTATATAGGATTATTTTGCAATAACCAGCTAAATTTGCAGAAAAGGTTCAGTATAAGTAATATAGGTAAATGGTGAAGAAAACTAATAAAAAAATCTCAAACATTATGTGCTTTTTCTTTTAAATTTAAAATGCGTGGTAATGCATTATTTTAACTGATTTTATCTCGCACGCACACATTCGTAAGGGTTGATAGGTAGGTTGATATATCACATTCAATTTGTGATAATATCAAATAAAAATAGAAGCCTTAGAAGGGGAAACCCTTTGGTTAAGAATTCTAAATTCAAATTTATAAATTCATTAAGCCTGGTACATTTGAGTTTTGAAAACAGTCATTCATTTGTTTTTTCCTCATTGTTTTTTTCTTTGGCGTCGCTTATTACCGCACAATGGCAAACATGAAATACCGGTATATTTACGAGTACGAGTTCTACCGTGGCACCAGTACTGCAGAAACAGCTCGAAGGATTAATGATGTGTACGGCCCTGGTGAGCTGTGGTAGCTCAGATGGTTAGCGCTCGCTGTAAGCTTCACAGTACTTGAGCAACCCGGGTTCGATCCCCGCCGGCACCAATGAAATTGTTAATTGCAAATTTAAGTGCTGATTTACCACGTGCTCGGCGGTGAAGGAAAACATCGTGAGGAAACCTGCATGTCTGAGAAATAAGAAAAAAATATTTCGAAGACATGTGAAGTTCGCCAACACGCATTGGGGCAGCGCGGCAGACATTTCCTTGCCCTAAAACGCTCTTAGAAATGAGAGGAGGCCTGTGCCCAGCAGTGGGACGTAAATACGCTGTAACTTTACTTTACTTTACCGCGCTGGTGTCGCAAAAAGAAAGCACGTTACGTTTTTGGTTTCAACCGTTTTCGTTTTAGAAATTTCGACCTTCCGTGGAAGCGGATCCATCACAAAGCACTTCAGAGATAGCTGGAGGCTTCGAGGTAAGTGAAAAAACTGTATTAATCCACTTGAAGCAAATCGGGATAGTAAAAAAACTTGAACGATGAGTACCTCATGAATTGAGTGCATCGAACTTGCAAACACGCGTCGACTGCTGTGTTACTTTGCTCAACCGACAAAATAATGAAGGGATTCTAAATCGAATCATTACTTGTGATGACTTGGATACTGTACGATAATCGGAAGCGCTCGTCGCAATGGCTGAACCCTGGAGACCCAGCCAAATCCTGCCCTAAACGAAAATTGACTCGTGAGTGTTTGGTGGACTACCGACACCGGTGTCGTTCACTACAGCTTTCTAAAATCTGGCCAAACGATTACAGCTATATTATGGTTGTAACACGAACGGGTCGGCTCGACCGGGGAAGGACCACGCTCTCACAGAAAACCAGCGTAAAATAGCAGCTTAACACTGCTGTGTTTCGTATGGTGAGTGTAGAGAACCGGAGACCCTTTTTACTGGAAACGATGCATTCCATCTTAGTCCTCACGGGTGACGGGTGTGAGATTTTAATTCTCAAAGACGTAAAGGGTTAAATTGTATAAAAAATACACCTTCTGTAGAGTCACTAGACAGAAATGTTAGAAAGGACCAAAAAGAACGCTTTACATGCAACCTTATCCACTTACATGCAACTAGTTTATCAAGAAGAAGAAAAGGGCACAATAAAAACATACAATTTTATTGACAACTCATCGCGAAAAAATACATTTAAGTTTGGAAACAAGCCCAATGTGTCTCTGCCATGTGCTGGATGCTGATGACAAGGCATATAAAAATAGTTATGTTCCTATTAAGGCAACACCGCGAGAAAATGCACCTTCTTTCATCGAATAGTATAGGATTATGACACGACTAACGAAACTGGAATTTTGATACAGGTAAATTCATGTCTTTATCTTGAATTTGCTTGTTCAAAAACACGATTGTATAATATTGACTCGATCTTAATTATTTGCAAAAACACCTCTAAAATATCATTATAGTTGAAATTACAACGAAATTACTTAATCTATATGCTTGGGAATCACTCAAATACATTCATAACATCAATATTCGTAATTTGCTTGCTCATTACCTAGACAGGTCATAAATTCTGTCACATGTTTAATATAAAATAATTGAAACAAGTTTATTCATTATGTAACCATTTATATACCAAAATGAACTTAACAAAACATAGATTCTTATGACACTAAAGTTTATTCAAAATGACCTCCGTGAGTTTGAATACAGGCCTTCAATATGCGCGGCCAGTCGTCTATCGCAGCACGAACGAGGTCCATGTCAATATCGGCGGCTGCCTTAATCAAGGATGTCTTGAGTGACTCCAAATTGGGATAAGGCTTTGAGCACGCCTTTTCCTCCAAGTGTTGCCATATGTTGTAATCTAACGGATTCAAATCTGGACTGGAGGAGGGCCAGTCTTCGTGCCGGATGAAGTCGATTTCACGCGCCGCCAGCCAGTCTTGTGTGCTCTTCGCTCTATGAGCTGGCACCGAATCTTGTTGGAATACCCATTGCCTGTTATTGAACATGGTATGAGAAACAGGTTCCACAAGGTTCGTCAGGACTGTATTTTGATACACAACTGCATTCGTTTTTACACCTGTTTCACAAAAATGTACCTCTGTTAAGCCCCAATAAGAAACTCCCAACCATACCATGAGCGAGGATGGAAAATGACCTCGTTGGATACGCGGAATACGGTTGCTCGCTTCTTCACTACTGTGTGCGTACACCTTATCATTTTGTTTGTTGTAGCTCTCTTTTACGGTAAAACTTTTTTCATCCGAAAACAGAATTTCCCGATATTTTTTTCCCGCGTACCGCTTCAACAAAGTGCGGCATCTCTTCAGTCTCAGATCCATTAGACGAGCATTCAAACGATGTCCTGTTTTTCTTCGATAGACCCGAAGCCCTAAGTCTTCATTTAACACCCTTTTCACCGTGGTTCTGCTTAACCCCATCTGAAGGGCCAACAGTTTCTGCTTACGTTTGGGATTTCTTTGAATTCGCGCCTTCACAGCTTTTATCACTGCTGGAGTCCTACCAGACCGAGGGCGACCACTTCTTGACCTGTCAATTACACTAGTCTTCATTGTATCGTTTGATGGTACGATAAACGAATCTTTTGGATATATTCAAATTTTTCAGTATGTCAAAAATTTGAATTGGCGCGTAACCGCAACGATGCAACGCAATAACTGCAACACGGTCTTCTTTAAGCGTCCACTCCATATTTAAAAATGAGTAAAATTCTAAAAAGTATACAGTTTTATTTTCATGAACAATTCGAAATTCGAATTCAATAAACTTTTTTGTGGCCAGCATTCTAAAAGAAAAGTTTTTACTGTGTGACAATACTTATGACCTGATCAGGTATTTTGATTTGATAAATAAATATTTTTTTAAATATTTTAAGATTCTAAGGGATTTATAAACGATCTTATCGCCGCGGGCGCTACGCAATTTTAAACCTTATGTTATCGTTTTTAAGTTTTTATAGAAATTATGTACTAACTCGGTTCAGTCCGGCGATAGTTCGCTTAAACGATTTTCGATGTCTTAGTTCAAAGAAGATCAAGGACCTCCAACAGCTTTTTCAATTTATTCCAGAAGAACATAAAGAATTTTACTTGGACATTATGGTTCGACCAACAATTGATTAGGAAGTCTAAGATTAAAATAAATAAGTTAAGTATGTAATAATTATTGTAAGCTATAATTAAAAAGTGATTTAAATAATATTTTCAGTTTTATATCAGTTATTTAAAATGAAATTCTTAATTTTTGTACTTAAATTAGTGAATTGTTTTTAAAACCCCACCTTGATTTTTATCATGCAATATTATTCAGTTGGATAATTTTAAAACTACACATTGAAGCAAGAAATTATCTTTTTTTTTAGTATTCCTTCTTAAAATATTAAGTGAAGATTCCTGAAAAATCTTATCACTGTAACATGTGGGGTTTAAAAAAATCATCGATTCCTTTGTCCTCACGGGTGGCAACTCATCTCCATTTTGATTATTAATTCAAGAGAAAGGTAGATGTAGGCCACAGTATCCACTTACCATCAGGTGGACTGTGTGCTAAAAAAAATATAAGAAGGTGGTGCTAGCCAGACGGACTTCAAGGCAGAAAAGTAGGGTCCTTTATTTCCAAATCACTAGACCACATTTATTTATCTCACATTCATAATATTAGTACGAAATAAGATTGATGTTAGTGTAGAAAGTAAAAAGTGTAGAGAATGTAAAGATATTCACAATGCTATCTAGGTCTTAAGGCTTTATATGAAGAATATGTTGTGATAAGAAATGTTTTGTTTTTTATTTAATTTTTTTTTATCAACTTGCGTGAATAGTATGCAAGTTTTTTCGTACGTGGGCACTCATTGCGAACGGGCGTGAGTGTTCACTATCGCTATAATGGATTTTGAATAAGAGGTTGTATATAATATATACACCTAAATTGCCGGGTTATAACATACTGAAATCTGTTTCTGTACTTAAAATGGCTAGAACTTAAAAAATTGTCTATAAATCATCATGGCAACTATAATATTGAACTCTATGAAGATTACCTATAAAAGCTAACACTAAAGCATCTGCAGAGTATTGAGGAAACAGAGGCGACTGTCTTCTCCATCCGAGAGCTTCGAACGTCTGTCCATCTGACGATATCATGAAGTTATACGGTAGACTTGATACGTTTGTCGCCTGTAAAAATAATTACAAATCGAATTAGTGTTTATAGCACTGCTAGTAGTCTTAAAAGGAAGCGGATAATTTGCCGTAATCCCCGCGCTTGGAAGTCATATTGTCGATAGCAATACCAGTCGTTTCTCTCTTGATGCTGCTTGCCAATACAGGTTTGAGAAATTTAGTATAATCCATCTACCATGCATCTCTCAATAAATTTGGAACTTACGCCCTTTACGACTAATGATTTTTCCCAAAATGTCAACCTCAATTGAACACACTAATCCGCCAGCCCATTGAGTTTCATTAAAATCTATTTAGGCGTTTAGGCGTGATTGTGTAATGAACATCCAAACATATTCACAAACTCACATATATTTACACATTATAAGATTCTTATTTTATAGCCTATTAGCCGTTCCCCGCGGTATCGCCCGCGTATATCATGCATCTCAGCCGCACGACATGACACCTCGCTTAGAGGCGTTCACTGCTGGTTTTTCTCGGTTCTCATAAGGTAGCTAGGCGTCGTTCGCGCGCCGAGCCGAGTATTGAATTGATTTTTTAAAATTTTTCATTATATATTGAACATGCTATAAAGAGCAAAGTTAATCTTCATAAAATTGTCTTGATGTTCGTAAGGATTAAAATGTCATGCCTAATAGTAATGCTCATAAATCACTTTTCAATATTCAATTATTTTTTGTCACAATATATCTTATTGTGGCTTATGTATAAGAAATAGGCCTGTAGTATCGCGGACTTTTTTTAGATGGATGAAAGAACTATATTTTTGTAAAGCATAGTATTTACGTATCACCGTTACGTGGACAAAGCAGTACGTGAGCCCTTTCTCTTCCGACTTACTTAACAAAAATCAATATTTAAGGCTAGATGAGAGGTGCAGCCTAATTCTAGATAGCCTATTCTTCGTGAACCTGGCTATCAAATACAAAAATATTTTATGAAATCGGACTGATATGGCAACGCCCACTCTATAGAGTAGGGAACGTCGCGGCGGTGTCGAACGGTTCGCGTATTGCATTTTTTATTCGTGATAAACTCGAAATTAAATGTCCGATTCGAATGAATTAAAAAGTGTTTTACTGCTACATATATACCTCTGATGACAAAATTATTTATTTGAATAAGAATTAATACTAAGATACGAATGTAACCAACTTTTGCTTCATTCCATTCTATTCTATTCTACCAGCGATCTAATTAAATTTTAGAACACTAAAGCTACTATTGTGACTTAACTATGATAGTTAGATTGCATCAGCAGTGAACTTGCTAAGGGCTATAATGTTAATGAAGTTCTGAATATGGTATACAGATTAACCGTTACACAAATCCCGGAGAATAATGAAAACACACAAGAGGAAATGTGGAGGTTAATATTCTGTACAGACGTTCTATTTATAATCAGATGGCAAAATTGATATAAAGTGATTCTAAGTTTTTTTTTGTGCAAGATAATGTTTTAAATAACCTATAACATCTCTTAAATTAAAAGTAATCTATGACATCCACACGATCGCCAGCAACAGAGTTCGGCCTATTTAAAATATAACTGCATATAAAAGACACACGCAAAGAACCATAAGAACATATCTTATAAATATTAACAAACTTACAGAAACACCTTGTGTAAAATAAAATATGATTTATAGAGACGAGTAAGGAGTTATTCTAACAGCACTTCAGCGTTAACTTAACAGCAACATTTACAGCTTTTAACAAAACTCGCCATGGCTAAGCGAAGCAATAATCTAGATAATCTAAATTCTAGAAAAAATTAATGAATTTTAGAGCACGTAGCGTAAACGCAATAATAAAAAAAAACAATGAGTATTTCTATATAAGACTAGCTGGTACCCAGCGCGTTGCTGCCATAGAGAAAAATAACTGTCGAAATATCGTTTCAAATTTGGAAGAGTTATATTGTTTAATTAGGAATGATAACATATTCATTGAAGTACAGTGATGTATAACTTTCAAATAAATTTGTCGGTACGATACGCGCGCTACCTATTGTAAGTTAGTTGTATTATGCCTATAACATTCTCACAAGTGCAAGCAATAAGTTGACAAAGTTTTAGCGCAATCTGATGAACGGTATGGCAGCGCATAAAATACGAAAAAACAAAAAATATTTTTTATATATTACATGATATCAAGTAGGTACGATCGCAAATCCGACGGCCAAACGTGGCGTTAGCTACAAGTTTTACACTATGCTATTTGTGATGATAAGACCATATCGTACGACAAGGAAGCGCTCTAAGAGTCCAGTTGGATAGTTACCACTCTGTCCATGCCGCCAAGCAGCAGTGCATTTATTGCTTTGTTACTGTCTGTTGGCTATGGCATACTATTTGGTATGTGGCAGTTAAAATTTTTAATAAATTACCTCTTAATATTAAAAATTAAAACATCTCCTTCCATTTAATAAGAAATCAAAAGGGGCACATTATTTTTTTTTTATAGTATACGGGTGACAAACGATATCTACATCTATCTTCGTTTGCGAATTAAAATGCAGCTGCGTTGTCAGCCGTGAGGACTAAGATAGAATGATTATTTTTCATTAAATTTTTCTCAAGGATAACATCTATTTTACCCAAATCGTTAGGACCAATTCCGAAGGACCAAGTACATAAATTCATATTATAAGAATTGCTAGCTTAAAGTACTATGATGTTTAACGTGGTGGAGCAACGCTGCAGTTATGCTAGCTATACATATCTGCAATATGAATGGGACGGCTCGACCAGATAGCACCATGTTCTCACAGAATACCAGCGTGATACAGCAGAATAATGCTGTTGTATTTCGTACCGTGAGTGTAGAGAACCGGAGATATTTTTTATTGGTCACGAGGCATTTCATCTCAGTCCTCGGTATTGACAACGTACCTGCATTTTGACTCTTATTCGATGATAGACATTAATTTATCATTAGGCGAACTATGAGCTCGTTCGTCATGCTTATTTTATAAAAATGATTTAAGTGTCTATGGGCCACAGCATTACCGCAAGGTAAACAACCGGGTGTATTATGTGCCCGTTTGTAACCCTTACTCGTATAAAATATCATAACCACCTAATAAGTAACAATAAACAACTATAATTAACAAACACATTATGTTAACATTCGCGTATTGTGCATCAAAATATGACTAAGAAATGTAATATTCCAATGACAAAAAATAATCAATGCGGTATAAGAGATAAAATGGCTATGCGAGTATACACTATACTTTTATATATTTTTTACAATGTGCAGTTACATACAGCAATGTACACAACATCAATAACATATTTTCACGCTATAGTCGCGGTGTAATTCGCAATGTTCGGATAAGAATATAACAATTTTTTTTTCACTTCCCAGAGTTTTTATGGGACGATGGTAAATTCTATTTTGTACGTGGTAGAGCCATGCTGCAGCTATATTAGTAGTATAGTTGTAGCACGAATGGGTCGGCTCGACCGGGTAAGGACCACGCTTTCACAGAATACCAGCGTAATATGGCAGTTTGACACTGCTGTGTTTCGTATGGTGAGTGTAGATAACCGGAGACCCATTTTACTGGAAAAGAGGCATTCCATCTTAGTCCTCACGGGTGACGAGTGACGACGCATCTGCATTTTGATTCTTTATTGAGGATGAATGTAGATGTCTATGGGTCACAGCAACCACTTACCATCAGGTGGACTGTGTGCTCGTTTGTCACCATATCCTATAAAAAAAATAATTATGACGAGATGTATGAGTAAAGAGATTATTATATTTCAAGTTTTATATAATAGCCCTTTTTTATTCTAGGTGTAGACATTAACTTGTGGTAGATCCACGATGCAGTTGGATTATAGCTGCAAAATGACTATGTCGGAAGCGAGGAAGGATTACGCCCTCAAAGAACATCAGCATATTGCTACGTTTCGTACATTGAGCGTAGGAAACTGAAGACCCATTTTATTGGTAAGGAAGCATTCCATCTTAGTCCTCAGTAGAATTTTGATTCTTAATCGATTATACATGTTATTAAACAACATTTTGTTTGTAAATTTACTACTTTAGTTAATTACATGTTTACAATTATAAGTGGAACATTTTAAACTTTTTAAAAATTCTTTTATTCGTCAAATACCTATGTCAAAGAACTGGACAGCAGGCGGTTTCACACGCGTGACAGAATTAGTAAATTTTTGTTTATTTATTGATGTGGCGTGACCGTGAGTGATAATGAGAGGTCATAATCCGATCGCGGCTGCTAGCAGATTATCACCCTAGTGCTGCGCGTATGTCTATAAACGGAAAGCGTGTTGTCCCATGTTGGCCAGGGACTTATAATTCCTATATTTATGTGGGACTTATAACAAACATATCTACATAAATAAATAAAATTGAAGTGTCTGTTTGTAATGTCAAAATTACAGCTTTTTACTAAATGCATATGAAAGTATATACGGTACATATAACAAAAACACAACTTTTAACATTTTTGTCTGTCTGTCTGTCTGTCGGTCAGTCTAACTGTCTGTCTGTTTGTTCCGGCTAATCTCCGAAACGGCTGGACCGATTTCGACGGGACTTTCACTGGCAGATAGCTGATATGATAAGGAGTAACATAGGCTACTTATATTTTAGAAAAAGAATTAGAGTTCCGCACAACATAGTTAAAACCCTAAATTACACGCGTGCGAAGTCGCGGGGAACAGCTAGTAGATAATAATAATAATAATAATAATGTCCTCCAGAACTAATTTCGGTCACTTTAGTAGGTCACGGCAGTCTTCTTTATTTGAGTTTGGTGACAGGTGCCCCAGGGCTGTACGAGCCACTGGCCATCAGTTTAGCTATAAGTTCGTTTCTCACTTCAATTCAAATCTATACAAATAAATAAAATTGAATTGTTCGTTTGTAATGACAAAATAACAACTATTTACTAAATGCATATGAAAGTATATACGATACGAAAACAACAAAAATATTTAAAAACTAGCTGTTCCCCGCGACTTCGCTCGCGTGTAAGGGTATTTTTTGTTTTTGTGCGGAACCCTAATTATTTTTCTAAAATAAAAGTAGCCTAAGTAACTACTTATGAAATCACATATCTGTCAGTGAAAGTCCCGTCAGAATCGATCCAGCCGTTTCGGAGATTACCCGGAACAAACAGACAGACAGACAAAATTTTAAAAATTGTATTTTAGTTATAAGTACCGTATTTAATTTCATATGAATCTAGTAAAAAACTGTATTTTTACATTACAAACAGACGTTTCAATTTTATTTATTTGTATATAGATTTTGTCTATCTGTCTGTTTCTTCCGCCTAATCTCCGAAACGGCTAGACCGATTGTGCTGGGACTTTTACTGTCAGGTAGCTGATGTTATAAGGATTACCATAGGTTACTTTTATTTTAGAAAAATTATTAAAGTTAAGGTAACACTCATGAAATGCAATCGTAATAAATTACACGCGGACGAAGCCGCGGGGAACAGCTACTTTATATCTATAAAAAGAATGTGCCAGCTGTGTTACTTGGCTAGCATGTCGAGAAAGGCGACCAATGGGATATTGGGTTTGTGACTGTGTAAACGATGGACTAGCCACCTATCTTTTGTTTCACAATTTCCCATCTGTACCAGTTCACAGTTCGCTTAGCCACCTTCAGCTGCATCACTACTTACTATCATTTGAGATAGTAGTAGTCAAACACTGGTACCTAAATATAATAGTTAAAAACCCGACTAGCATATATGGATATGAATGAAGCGATAGAGTTGTGTCAGAACCGTCGAAATCCGTAGTCTCTGCCTACCACATTAGGTGGCAGACAGGCGTGAGAGTTTACACGTATGTATTTTATGAATTAGTAAAATATGAAATATGTAACTTAATTTTATAATAAACTAGCTGTTCCCGGCACGAGTCACAATGCCTTTTTTGACAAAAAGTTTCGCGGGCGTGCGCACGTCAACTTACCAAAGTTTTGTCGTAATCGGATGAACGGTATGACAGGGCATAAAATACGAACAAACAAACAAACAAACATTAATTTCTATTATTGTTATTTTATATTATATCCATTAAGAGGTGGAAAGACGATTTATACGCTTGTGGTTTTTTGACTTCCAACAGGTTTCATGACTGCTTCTTCGCAATCAATGGAAGATATCCATATTAGAATAGATAGATAGAGATATGCTCTATTGATATTGTCGCTTCAATCGCTGGTCGTACGCGTGCGTATGTGTATGCGCGCGCGCGCTTTTGTGTGTGTGTGTGTGTGTGTGTGTGTGTGTGTGTGTGTGTGTGTGTGTGTGTGTGTGTGTGTGTGTGTGTGTGTGTGTGTGTGTGTGTGTGTGTCAGTGTGAGACAAAGGCAACCTATACAAGAACCTGGGATCACTTCTAATCATAAAACTAAATCTACCTGCATCATATTTAGCAGCTTCGCGCAGTCTGACGCGCCGTAACACTGCCTCGTGCCCGTCTCGACGACTATCACCTGGCTTGCCTTCGTTGAAGATTGCTGGGTTGTTTGGATCGGGCTGGTCTTATCCCATTGGAAACGGCTCACCATAAGCACCGACGGCTCGACTGGCGGTAAAACGTTCTCTGTAACATACGTCACGTGTTTTATAAGAACTTTGATGTTATCCACGCTGGTATTGACCGTATTATCTTTCCACTGTAACAGAGACCACTCATTATCACCACGCAAAATATAATGCTTAAGCGATATCATCGAAAATAAAATTAACATAGCTGAGAGGAAAATTTAAGGAGGCAAGGGACACTTCTTACTTGTAAAATTCGATAAATTATTTATTTAAAAAAACATATTTTTACGCGAATACTAAACATTGAATAAAACTAATTTTACGGATGTTATCGACTTTAATATAACTTCTTTACTTATTATAACATATTATTCAGAGCTACGATTCCAACTCAAGAAAAATAATGGACATTAAAATAAATATATCTCACCTGATCTGCTTTGGATAACCAACAAATATGTGCCTATTACAATTCCCGCGAAGAGAACTAGAAAGAGTAAGGTGACGACCATGGTGGTCCGGTATCTTTGTTCTTCTTGACCTGGATTTCTTGGAAAACGCTGTAGGAGTGGCGTCGCCTCGGAAGTTCTGGGTTCATCTTCGGCGCGGTATGAACTGGTGCGTGACTCGTGATCTGGTAAAAATCAATCACTGTATTACATAAAATATCAAATTAATATTTTACCCTGGCTGTATTTAATTAGATATAGACATAGGCATGCATTTATTCAGCAATTTACACTCATACAGTTTTCATACAGAAATTAAAATTATACATAAAACATCAAAGATAAAAACTAAAAATCAAAGATTAGGTTCATCAAAGATAAAAACTAAAAATAAAGACTAATTTATGTTATTAATTAAGCTGAACTTTAATTAAAACTGTACAAGAGAACTGTACAGCTGTATTATCACACTCAGGTTGTATGAACAAACATAAAGAATGTATACCCTAATATAATAATATTGTAAATAATTGTGTATAGGAAACTTTTTAAATGATGGCAAATATGAAATATTTGGTCAAATATGGATTATGGAATATACCATCTAACGAATCCCTAAAGTTTTAAAGGAACTTAAAAGACCAAATGTATATTATAAAAAAGATTAAGTATAAAACATTCACCGCCATGTGTTAGCTGGAAATTATTTCATTAAAAATAAAAGGTAAAACGTTAGTTACAATAAATAGATTGCAGTTGAATCTCGCCCATATTAACACTACACTTAGGCAATATCCGTTTCGAACAGCGAGTTCTGGACCGTGAAAACATTGACCAGTCTGGTGCTTTCGTATCAATCGCGTAATGCACTGATTTCAAGTGTTTAATACGTGATCATGTTCCAAGTTTAGTAGGCATATTAAATGTAACGACACAAAATAATATCCTGTGTACTGTGAGTTATCTACTTGATATGTCAATGTTAAATCAACATTTAGGTACCCAATTTATTTTCAGTATTCAATTTCACATGGCTACGTATAGCTTAATATGTTAAATTATTGGTTTTAATTTATCAATCTACAATGTGTGTAAAACAATTCCTCTAGTAGATAAAAATACTGATTAAGTGCGAGTCCGGCCTGACTCTATTAGGGTTCCGTACATATACTAGTCACATATATACAATTTTGGTATCTGTAAGGCAAGAGTTCGGCTACATCACCACTTACACTTACCACAAGTGAGGTTCAGATTTAGAATCAAGTAGCCTTAATAGGGGTGAGGGGCATGGGAGAGGGTAGATTCGTCCCCAACCCTTTCCCCCGTCAGGCGTACCTATTTTTTATATTAAATGTTGAAGATTAAAAAATTCTTGAATGATTTGTGAGAAAAATTACTTTACAGGGAGGCGTCCCCCCTCCGCCGAAGTAATACCAAAGTGTAGTCGACGAAATTTCTGGATGGTTTATAAAAAATAACCATGAAGCGAATGGAGGAGTTTGTTCGCTCGCTTCGCTCGCTCACTCGCCCCCTTCTAACCTAACCTGTCTGAGTCGGAGTGATCCAAGTCCCGAGCTCGCTTCGCTCGCTCTTGCACCAAATAAAACACCAAAATGTTAACTTTTATAATTACTTTAATAAGTAAACATATTACTTCCACCAATGGATCTTTATTATATTTCATAATGTTCCGCCCCCACAAGTACTCCACTATCTGACATATTATCTGCTTAAACATTGCTCCCTCTCTTCTTTGTAGGGATCCTCGTTCATGGTCATTTCATAGCTCCATTTTTAGCAAAAGCATAAATAAGGTGAAACAAAACAAAACCAACTGTATGTTTACTTTTTTAAAAAAATGCGTGTTACTGAATCGGTAATTTTTTATCCCAAAAATTACTAAAACTACGTAAATTATAGTCACAGTAAACCTGTACAGTCAAAACAAACTGAAATGGATCGTAACTCAAGGCAATAAGAATTTTGAAAGTGCAGTTTTAATTGTATTAATACAAATTCAAATATAATAAAATACAAATTTTATGTGTGTGTTTACTAGATGGTTTAGATTTACATTTGGAACCCATAGGTGACGCTGTTATCGAGATGCAGAATCACCCGTGCGAAGCCGGGGCGGATCGTTAGTAAAATATATTTAATAAAGTCATGAGTTTTCTGTCTCAGTTCTAAAATAGTAGTACTAATTTAGTGGTAAGTGTGTAAGACTACGAGATGATGAATCCTCAATAAAACTCTATAATATAATTCTGCTGTAAGCTGTAACTTCAAAATATTTATGGTCTACCGGCCGGTCTCAATAACCTATCTATCTCATTCTGGAAGTTAAAATGTCTATTATTGGTATCTACAGTTACATTTTTCAGTTTCAATAATCAAAGATAGATAGAATTATTTAACCATCTAGGTCGGTTTTTACTATGGGATATCTATACAAATAAATAAAATTGAAGTGTCTGTTTGTAATGTCAAAATTACAGCTTTTTACTAAATGCATATGAAAGTATGTACTGTACTAATAACAAAAATAAAATTTTTAAAGTTTTTGTCAGTCTGTCTGTTTGTTCCGGCTAATCTCCGAAATGGCTGGACCGGTTTTGACGGGATTTTCACTGGCAGATAGCTAATGTCATAAGGAGTAACTTAGGCTACTTTTATTTTAGAAAAAGAATTAGGGTTCCGCGCAAAAAAAATTAAAACCACAAATAACACGCGGGCGAAGTCGCGGGGAACAGCTAGTAAGTAATATATATTGGATTAACCCCTGTACCCCGCATACCGTTCTCCGGCGGTGCTAAACGGTGTGCGGGGTACAGGGGGCAAAATATAATATGAAAATATCGCTCGGTCGATCGAAAAAATTTTTATACTATGAGATGTAATATATATTACATGTCAGCGTAAACGGTTCCATTAAAAAGTACGGTGAGCGATATTAATTTATGTCTCGAGATATAATATATATTACATTATATCCCAGCCCATAGTGAAAAGCGGGCTTCACATTGATCTACTGTGCGGAGGACTTACTACCTGAATTAAATGGGTTCATTGAAAACAAAAAACAGCTGACTGTTTCAACAACGTTTTGGCATTGTGGCATTGGCATTTAACTGGCGATAGTTCAAATTAGGTACCAGATGTCAGAGTTTTGTCTATGCCTAATTTTGAGAGGTAGCAAATATTAAACGCATTTTTAAATAAATAAAACCTATTTAATATCTAAAAATGGATTTGTTAAGCGATGAAAGTGATAATGAAATGTATGAGATCGGTCACGTTTTTGAATCCGGAGGACGAATAAATTACAGAAGTGAATTTTCTGACTGAATTTACATATTATTTCGATTCATATTAAATAAAACGTCCGTGGATGAGTTATTATTGAAAATAATATCAGCCTTAAAAGTAATTTCTTCGATGTGAATAAAGAAACTTGTGAACAGAATTTTTTACATAATGTATGGTCGAAATATACCACACAACATTACTTTGAACAATAAACATGAATGTTTATTACTGTAACAATTTAGGAATAAATGAATATCAAAATTTAATAATTATAAGTTATTTTAGCTGAGCTCATCGATTTCTAGTTGTAGTGTACACAAACTGTTAAGTCAAGTCAAGTATATATATATATATATATACGACACACCAAATACCGTAAAAATATCAGTATCTTTAAAGCTTCGGCCAAACTGAGGCGAACCCCATACCCCTATCTTTTTTCCTATTATTTTTATAGTCTTCGTGGCTGAGGTCGTATAGAATCTTGTTTTCTTTTACTTTTTGTAAAAATAATTTAGAAAAACACATTTCATGACCTTCACTTTGAGGTTTTTATTTTATATATTTTATACTAAACAACAAAATATACTTACACTATAAAACAAATACTAATTATTATTTGTAATACATAAAAAGTAAAGTTACAGCCTATGTACTATATATATACAGCGTTTTGGTTTAAAATATAGATAATGAATATTATAATAAAAACATATATTTCTAATATTTATTTATATTGTTGGTTTTACGGATATGCTACTAAGATACATATTATTTGCTTTAAATATTTTGTATACAGGACTTTTAATATACAGGAACATATTTTTTTCGATTCTTGATAAAACTTCCCATACCCTTATCGTTTTTCTTATTATTTTTTTTAAATAAAACTAATTTTACGGATTTTATCGCGTATATTAGCTTATTTTTATATTTCCGACGTTTCGGGTGCTTTCCAGCACCCGTGGTCACGGGTTGGAAGTTCTTCGCGTAAATATAAGAAAACTAATATTTTTTTATTATTTTTATAGTCTTCGTGGCTGAGGTCGTATATAATCTTGTTTTCTTTTACTTTTTGTAAAAATAATTTAAGGTTCAACGGCATTTCGAGAAATCAGGCACTATCCCGCGTATATTTCGCTACAGCACGTGCGAATATTCGCGCCAATGTGAACACCTTCATACAAGTTAGCTGACATAATCGGCGCGAGCGCATCGCGTCCCGCACAGGATCCGCCTCAGTATGACCCAAGATTTACTTGTTTGGAGCCCTAAAGAAAAATACGAGGGGCACACTGCAATGATCGGGAATAGAATATTTCGGATTGAGTTACAATAAAACCTTTTTTAGAATTTGAATACTGGCCTCTTAGAATCTTAATGACAACAAACAACAAAAAAAAAAAAAACCAAAAACTATGTTGATTTAAAGTTGACACGTCGTTAACAGAAATGGAGCTCACGCGTGAACATTTCCGTGCCATAATTTATCACAATTTTCGTCGCGGGTAGTGTTGCCCAAAATCGGTCTTGGTCTTGCAGTCTTGGTCTTGTTCTTGCATTTTTGCAAGACCAAGACTGACCGTGCAAGATTTGCGCAAGAACAAGACTTAGCTTGCGAGACTCTTGCGTCTTGCAGTTAGGACTAAGTATCGTTTCAGGGAGTATAGGAGTTCGGGTATACGTTTAGGGACTCTATGAGACGCAAAAAATATAATGAAAAAGAAAATTGGAAAATTGGACTTTACGAACAATACCATAAATATACATAGCGAATGAAAATATCCATTAAAAGAAAAAAGAGTGCATCCCTAGTTTTGACCATCGGCACTTTGATGGTGCGCGGCGTCTTGTTGTCGGCGTCATCAAAAGTCGGATACTGACCTGTCAAAGAAATTGTGCAGCTATTCGAAAGTACAAGGTCAAGATACACGTGCCGGCGGCTACTATTGATATCGCATACAATCGTCGCCGCCGCGCCACACGCACCACATTTGACACTGTTTGATTGCCGCCACAGAGTACATGTTTCAAAGAATAAAATAAGTTTCCGGGTGCTAAGAATGGACACGAATACATAATCCTGATCTCGCAAGAAATCTTGTAATTAGATAATAGGTAGGTATCATAATAATTTATTCTAGTAAGTAATTATTATAAAATTAACTATATGGATTTACAATAATTACTTGCTATTATTGTTATTATTATTACCTAAAAGATAAATATGTTCAGTAAGTTCACTGCAAATCTCGACTTTTGCAAGTGTGTGTTTTTAAAACACAAAGTGCTCGAATATGTCGTCACACATTTGATAAATATGGTTGACACCATAGCACTTTTAAAACACTTGAAATGTGTAAAAATGGATCTGGATCTTGTCTTCAAGGCTTAGTTATTAAGGAGTTGGAGGAGTACCTAGGTAAACCCAGAGCCGTCATTTCGGAAGACATTTTAGA